AATCAATGCATATGGTGGCGAGGGGTGTGGGGTGAGAAAATGTTGAAAATTCAAGCCTGGCCAGAAAGGCTATTAAACACATAAAATATACACAAACATTTATAGGGAAGGGAAAGAAAAAAGAGATCGAGGGAGGAAAAAAGGACAGAAGCAGAAAAGAGGAAAGAGAAAGAGAAAAAAGCAAATTGATGAATGAAGTTAAGTATATAGGACTATTGACCTTTCTGTCTTCAAAATATTATCCAGGCCCTGTGGCTGCATGATTCTCATTAAATTCATTGGGAATAATCTGGCTAAATCCCTTCTTGACTCTTAAAAATAGCAGGAAACAATATTCTGAACTTAAAACAAATTTACAGCCCCTGTGAGCACACACCAGCTGCAATTGTTGAACTATCTTGCCCACAGTTGAATCATTAGCACCATATATGCACAAGGATTTAATTTTAGAATCTGCTTTTCAAAACTTCTTTTGAGGATGTTAACTAGCTTACTCACAGACTGGTCTTTCAGTCCAAATAAGTGGAGGTGCTCAGGCCCATGTAATCAGAGGTTAGGAATATACTCTGAGCTGCTATAGGAGTGTTTGAAGATCCTCAGAGGGTGAAATGTTTCAGCAGGGGGAGTTAGATTTAAAATGCAGGGTTTCTCATCATTTCCTGGCAAAGCATTAATAGGCTTTTATGCATCTGATTACAACCCAGGCAGTATATGAATATTATATATCCACTGAATTTATTATATTGATAAGAATCCACAAAAATGAAATTTTAAGACTCTGCTTGAGTATCTAATGGTTTCAGCAAAATGAGATTAGATGAAAGTTCAGGGGTTCAGTTTGCTGCTTATAAAGATGTCCAAAGAATCTGAAAACTGCAGAACAGTGTAGATCAAATTATCAGATAGGTGGGTCCCACCACTGGGTGAACACCTCAAAATCAGACTTGGCCTCTGACTTTATGTACACTCTGGGCCTACTGAACTGTTCTGAGCATTGGTTTAGCCAGAAGGTGACAATGAACAGAACTCCTGAAAGAAGGTCAGACTGTCCATTAGCCACAAAGACTGGGAGACAGATTCAGGACTCAAGCAATGGAAAAACAGGAAACCAAGGTCATTTGTGGAACTCAAAACCAGAGCAGACTGCCTTTATCAGTAAGCTCTGGTTTGACATAAACTGGTTTAGATTGTGGTCGCTATGGGTCTTACTGGTTCTCGATCTGTACATCTGTGCTCTGACCACAGTACACCCTCTGAGATGGCTGGCCCTTGAACTCATGCACAAACCGAATGCATTCACAAAGTCATGCCTAACCTTCCACCTCCAGGGAGAATTATCCCATTTTGGAATCTGGTGTATACCTTTCCATTTTCTCTAGAACTGTTGCTCACTTTTAGTTTTTAAATGATCCCTAGCTCTTTTGATAGGCAAGAGGAGAGAGGAGTTGAAACAAGTTCATTGGCAACTTCAGAGTGGCTTTATTTTTTAATTTTTAAAAATATTTATTAAAAAAAATTAATGTTTATTATTTTTGAGAGACAGAGAGAGAGCATGCAAGCAGAGGAGGGGCAGAGAGAGAAGGAGACACAGAATCCAAAGCAGGCTCCAGGCTCTGAACTGTCAGCACAGAGACTGCCGCAGGGCTCAAACCCACGAACTCTGAGATCATGACCTAGCCAAAGTCAGACGCTTAACCGACTGAGCCACCCGGACGCCCCTTAGAGTGGTTTTAATTAACTCTCTGGCAAGAGAAAAAACTAACAGAGCAGTTAATATGTTTGTTACATCATTAGAACTTCATGTTTTCACCTCAGCCCTCTTCCCTATGACAGAAGGTCACAGAAAGCCAGCCGGCAGTTACTCCACAGAAAACCACCCAAGAGGGCCAAGGGCCCCCAGAAAAGTCAGGAAACAAGCGAGAGGCCGGGCTTCACTCATGACCAACTGCAGCCATCCAGCGTGGTTGCACAACCCCTGGAGGCCATACTTTACAACTGGTAAAGATGTACTTTGGACTATAGTTTGTTCTGAATTTAGGTGAACAGATACTCTTCTGTTTCACCTTTCCGTAGTTGGGGGTGTCTGAGCCATGGGGTAGCAAGAACTCTGTCAACCTGAGCACACCACAGGGAAACTTGGGGTTAAGTTCAAGTGAAGAGAAGTTTGTTTTGCAGTTTAATCAGGTCAACGGTGACAGTGTCCTTTAAGGAAGCATACTAATTAGAGCAGTCCTTTCTACTTTCTGCCTAGCTGGGTAGTGTCATACTGTTGAGGAAACATTGATATACACCACACGCCCCATTAATAGATGACTGTGGAGGCCAAGGCTGAGTGAGCTTCAATAAAGGAAATGGGAGAAGCTGGAAAACTGACCTGGTCACCTTACTCTAATGATTAACTTTAAAGTATTTAAAACCTCTGATTGCTTATACTGACTATTTCCCTTCGTGTGTGTCTGGGGGGAAGAATTTTACAGAATACTAACAAAATACAAAAGAGAGAAGGGGGGAGGCTGCCATTTCACTGCCGCTGGCCGCTGATAAACAGCAAGCCAAGGGTTTGAAAAGTCATTACGCTTTTCTATGAATAAAAGGATGCGGAGGCGCTCCCGAGGGCGCCGCTCTCCCCCCGCACAATCAGAGCCCTGGTTTCCTGCACCCCACTTCGTGGCACGCCCACTGGAAACGCTGTTGTCAAACTGCCAACTTCGTGGCAGGCAAAACTGACAAACTTTGCCTGTCTCGGTTTTGCAGAATTGTGATGAAAATAAATAGTCAGGCTGCTGCCTGTGAGATTTCCTTCTCCTGTAGTTTGCAAACACAGTCCATGTCCTAGATGTGCTGCGTTAAACAAAGTATGTTACTCAGTTCCTTCAGTCGGGAGCTGGGATTGTCACCATTTGGCAATTACTGATGGAGAAGGAAACCTCACTCCCGGCTGCATATACATGTGGATGAAAGGAAAGCAATATTTATGGCTCATGCTTAGAGACCAGATGCTGCGTGGCGTCCCTCTTCTAGGACTTTGGGGGAAACCGAAACCAAGAAGCTGCACAGGGCACTATTTCAGGGCATAAGGGGGGCGGCCATGCACTATTTGGGCGGGGGGGGGGGGGGGGGGGGAGGAGAAGCACACGTGGAATCTACGCCATTTTGTTTTGTTGGATACCTGATTGTATTGTGCTGTCTATTATGGTTGGTTTTTCTGTGGTCAGCACGGTGGTCCCACCTGAAAAACAAAAATAGTGACAGACGAAAATGAGAAAAAGTAAGCATTGGGGATAATAAGCATTAAAGAAGTGCTGCATGTGTGCATACATCTGTTAGAGGCGAACATTTTCCACAGAAAATCCTTCCTTTAATTCCGCCTGTAGTAATTTGTTTTACTTAGATTTTGTCCACCACGATATCAAGTTCAAATAAACCACTATTTTTTACTCAACACATTTGCTCATAAAGCATCCAGGCGGTATGGACAGTTTGAGACTTTGTTCCAAGGGCATTCCCTGGTTCCCAGGCTAAGCGTGCTACACCATTGTGACAGTGAAGGGCAAAAGCCTCCACAAGTCCCCAGTGACTTGGGAATTAAACTTGACCTGGGCCTCTTAAGCTTCAAATAGTTTCCCAAGGTTTCAGATGCGTGCCTTCAGGGGCGGTGTAGGGCTGCTCCCCACAATCTATTTTGAAAACTGTAGGTTTAAGAGGGCGACAGCAGTTCCTCCTTTCTTTTGCTGCTGTAGTTGTTTATTTTTCCCAAGGACAAATATTCTGCCCAGTGTGTGATTTGGAGAAGCTGCAGAAAAAGTTCACAGGCCCAGAGAACTGGAAGTTTGCACAAAGAATATCCTGAATGTTGTGAGCTCTCAATCAGTGGGGCAACTTTGGAATTCCTGGTGAGGGAACCAGGTGCTGATTTAGCTCCACCCTCTTTTCTTCTGCACCCTGGCGCTTCCATTTTCTGCTCCTCCTCATTATTACACTTCTGGTTCTGGTTTAGTTTTTTTAATGTTTATTTATTTTTGAGAGAGAGAGGGAGGGGCAGAGAGAGCTGGAGATACAGAATCTGAAGCAGGCTCCAGGCTCTGAGCTGTCAGCACAGAGCTAGATGCGGGGCTCAAACCCATGAACTGCAAGATCAGGACCTGAGCTTAACCAACTGAGCCACCAGGTGCCCCTACACTTCTGTTTTAAAGTCGTGTTCTTGAACTTGCCAAACACAAGAATCACGTGAATGCTGGTTGAAACTGCAGCTGCCAATCTGCCTGTCCTCCTTGGAACTCCTTGAACCAGAATGTCCAAAGTTCAGGCCTTGAAATCTGAATTTGCAAAATCTTCTCAGGTGAGGCTTATAACTGACTAAGTGCAGGGGAAACACCGGTTTGCTGTTTATTACATAAGGTGTTGGAGCCATTTCTCCTTATGTGTATCTGTTTTGCAGATTATGATCAGAGATAATCTATTTGTTACCCCAAGAGGGAAAGCCCAGGGCAGACTCAGGGGAAGGACATGGGGTGGGCTCATGAGTATCAGGGAAAGTTTGGGAGGTGGTTATAAGGTGCCATTGTACAGCTTCCAGTAGGATCATTCAATAAAGATGTGTGATCATCTCTATTCTGGCCAGGTCCTAGTTTCACCCTGCAGCTTCCACAGAGCAGAAATCATCCAGATCATGAATCAGAGAGCCGTAAAATCATGCTCTTGGGATGGTTTGAAGATTTTGGAGCTAATCGACTACAGCACCAAGTCATGTTACCCTTGCTTTCCCAGCAAATACGCTGGATGAGCGGTCACACGTGTGCGTGGCCTCAATGAGGCAAGCACCAGGAAGAAAGAATTATATATATTATGGGTTAAGGAGGTGAATCTATAATGGCAGAATTGGAGGGAGGCCAGAATACATTAGCATTCTGTTCCCAGTGGTCTCAAGGGAGAAAGACTCAAGGTGAAAATTCACTTTTTAAAACTGATATGCATTATCAGTTTTGTTGTACGTTGGGAGCCAAACTCTGATGTTGGGTACGCACAGACCCAATGAGAAATTTGGCCTCCCGGTGCCTTTGAAGCTAATTGTATTATCTAACGACTTCAACAGCATTTGCAAATGAGTAACTTCAGGGGTGAATTTTCACCTTGGCAAGCAGTGTGGGAGAGCAAAATCTCTCCTCATTTCCATGCATTTTTGTAGATTTCACCTGGAATTCAGTGTTGTTTGTAAGTAATGAGCATTTTGCTAAAATACTTATTTGCCACTATATTCAAAGCAGCCAACCCAGGAGGAGAAATTAAAGGGACACCATCTGCATTAAGGAACCAAACACCATGAAAGAGAGCATTCATCCTAATTTCCACACCCCCTCCTATCAGGATAAGGTGAGGATGCTTTCACTTTGGCTCCATTACACTCAACGTGCCAAGTTTGAGGCTCTGTCAGCAAAGCCTGTGACTGAAGGAGCAAGGAGTGTGTGTGAGCCTAGGATGTGAGCTGTTTCCATGCAAGGTGATACCTGGGTCAGGGAGGATTTTGCTACTTGCAGAAAAGCTTACATAGGAGCACACCCTTTCTCAGAAAAGGAGAACAAGTAACTTCATAAAGCAAAACAAGTAAAAACAGCAACAAGAAGAAAACCCAAAACTGGCCGCAATGCAATAAATGAATTTGAAACATGAGATGCCTTCTGAAATCACCTCTTCTTGATGGGGGCGTAGAGCAGGCATTATCAATACCTCTGGAAGTTCTTAATATATGTCTGATTCATAGAAATGTTGAGACAAACGGGCTGGCTCAAGAAAATAACTTTTTTTTGCCATTGTAATATGTAAAAAAGAAAAAAAAAACTAGAACTTTTTTCTATCTCACCAATAAATGATGTTAAATGCTGTAGATAAACTATAACCTTGTACATTTAAAAGACTGTCAGTGTTTCTACTATAAATGACCCATTTTCTGTGGTTTGTTACTCATTTGGCATACATAATTTGCTCCAGGCTAACATACTTGCCCTATTTCATTCAAAGGGTTCAGCTTCAATTGATTCAGTCATGAACTGATCCAAAAATGAGAAGGTTGGTTGTTCTGATATGAGAAGTAAATCTGAGGCTTTGTTTCTAATCAATATTAACTGACCACTTTAGGGTTTATAAAGAAAAGAACCTTCTCCACAAGAGGGCAATTGAAAGGGTATACTGTGATGACTACAGTCGTTCCTTTTTATGAGGAATTTCACTACAGATGTGTGACAGGGTCCACAAAGAGCCTGAGGTCTGTGTCAGGGTGTTTACAAGCAATCCTGGGAAGGTTCCACAGGACCTGGTTCATAGAATGGTACTCTGTTCTTAACATCAGGTGTAGGGTTTTCAGCTTGAACTTGACATCTCACAAAGAAAATGCCTCTACATTAATTAATTTTTGTGGCTTTTGGCTGCTTACACACAAGATTTGTTTTCAAAAGCCCAACATTTATTGGCCCTATGACTGTAAGTGATTAGCCTGGAAATTTGGAGGGAGACAGCCTTAGGAGCTGGGATTTAAATGTAAACCAAGTTCATGGTACTATGTCTCTGAGCTACATTTCACCTCTTATTCTATCTGAGTGCCGAGCTCTCTTGCTCCTTCAGAGGAGAGCTTTTGAAGTAATTGGAAATGTACTGTGGGACATTTCCTTCCAGATTTTTACATTAATGCATTAGCCAATAACATGGCACTATTATGAAGTTACATGGTAACGCCTTCAGTTTCGCCCATGGAAATTAATTATGTGGGCTCTCTGAGTCCCCTCTGGCTAAAAATACAGACCTGTATCCAAGGGCTCATGTTTAATCTAAAATGAGAGTCAGATGCTATATGAAACTGCATTTGACCCAAGTGGCGATAAAGGTCCCACAGTGCCTTTGGCAACAATAGGGTGAAAATCCTACTGCCTTGGCCAATTTCCAAGTGGTACAATCCCATTTCCCCACTTGTCTAATATTTCCTCTGCCATTCCAAGTAGAAGAGAAGGTCACTTTGTAGCTCTTAGGGTTTTAGAATGTTATGGAGTAATACTCTAAATTAATTAGTGAGGTATTTGGCACACACCGTCCCTGATACATTTGCTAGTGGTTGCTGATGTGAAATAAGAAGTAATTCTGCCTTTGTAAATTTCAATGTAAAATGATTTACAAAACCCTAACTTAAAAGCTGCATTTCAAATATAAGCCTAATTTCATCAATTAGTTGGGTAAAGGTTCCACTCAAAGCATTTTCCCCTTGTTCAAAAATGAAAATAAACATTCCAAAGTGTGTGGTTGTGTAGCGGTGGTGCACGTGTTGTGGGGGTGGGGGTTTGAAGGTGAGGATGAGTTTAGCACATGGAGCCATAGAGAAATTCTTATGGAATTAAGAAAATCCTAGCCTCTGGCTCTGAAAATGGCTAAAATAATTGTGTCGAACGGCGGCGGCAGACGGCATGAGGAAAGGAAGCAGTGACCCCAGTTGATGATGGCCGCCACCGTGAGGAGCTACACAAACATGAACAGACATGCACTAGCAGGTCTCCACTACGACATAACTGAAATGGCACAGCAATGGGATGAAGATGGTTTCTGCACCTGTGAGCTGGAAGTCATCACCTGTTCCGCTGTGGCAGTTGGCCTGGTCATCATCACACTCGTCCACCAGGTTCCCGTTGGGAGTGGTCGGTCCAGCTGTAGGTGCTGAAACAAGATCCAAGGATTACTACCTCACACCTCCGAAATGTATTTGCAAGGCTCTGGCTATTGAGTCTGCTAACACCTTTGCAGAAAACTCTAATCCGTGGTAAGAAGGCCAGGAGCATGATTCACCTCCCTTTCAGGAGCTAAATCTACTTGGATTTGGCAGAATTCGTTGGGGACTGCTTTGTTTTGGTATTTGATCCATATCTGTTCAGTAGAGCTGGCTGCCCTAGCATTTTATACATTGCTATCTACATAAACATCCTTTTTGTGAAAAGTGCTTGCATTCTCACTGGTTATTTATTCATGACCCTGGAATTGAGAACTTTGATGACAGAGATTCTGCTTCAACTGTTTTTCCTTACATTCTCAATGGGCTAGAGAATTCGCCTGTCATGAATTCCTTTACTTTCTTAGTATTAGCTAAGCTTGCTAGGTTTGTATTAGAATTTTTCTCCAAAAGGGAGTCTCAAGATTCACTTTTAGTACAATATTGTTCTTTAAAAAAAAAAAAAAAAAAAAAGAAAGAAAATTGTGAATGACTCCATTTCCCTTTAAGTAAGCTTCTCAACTTGGGATCCCCCTCTCCAGAGCAGGTGTTTGAGAGGAGCTGTCTTAGATGTCCTGGGGTCATTTTCCCTTAACTCCCGGAAGACTGCATTCCACTGTGGACAGGTATTCCTGTATCTTTGAGTGTGTAGTTGAAAGGTAGCCAACATTAATCAAAGACTGCTTTTGAAGTTCTTTAAACTTAGTTTGGTCTATTATTTTTCAGCCTGTTACTCATTCTTGCAATCTGTTTAATATTTTACAGTTTTTGGCATTACCTTTCACTTTGCAAGGCTTGAGATAATGTACAGCTCTCAATGTCTGAGAACCAGACAAGATACTGGGAGTGGGGGCCTGTTCTCTAATAGCTTCTGGCCATGTGTCTGGGAATGTGTTGGTAACTGCTTCTTTCTCAATAAAAAAATTGATAGTCTTTGTTATTGTGCTTAATTACTGAGCAGAGTTATGACAAATATAGAAATGTAGCTAGGAGCGCCTGGGTGGCTCAGTCGGTTAAGCGTCTGACTCTTGATTTCGGCTCAGGTCATGATCTCATGAGATGGAGCACTGTGTCCAGCTCTGAACTGACGGCACAAACCCTGCTTGAGATTCTTTCTCTGACCCACCCCCCTCTCAAAATAAATAAATAAGCATTAAAAAAAAAAAAAAAAGAAAGAAATTTAGCTAGCTTCAACTTCCTCAACTGCCCAGAGCACACACTAGGAATGTGTACAGAGAATGTGCACAGTGTTTAGGCACACCATCTAGACTTTGTGAAATGCATACACACACATTTTGGGCTCCACATACTGCTATCAGTGAATCAGTGGAATCCTTCCTGCTAATCCAGATACTTGTATTCACTGAGTTATCTGCCACTTTTAAGTATTTTAAACTCTCTATTCATCTGCATTCCTTATGGGATTTGTAAAGGAGGAATTCCTCATTGGAAGTGGCCCAGGGTAGTACCTGGTTTAAATTTAAAAAATAGAAAGTGAATAATTTTTATTTCCCAATTTTACTACTTGGATATATTTTATCTTCTGTGATTCTCTAATTGTGTCTTATAAATGCTAGCCCCAAACAGGACAGACACTTGCAGAAGGCTCAGCTATATCTCACTGTCTTCCCGTATCCCTCTAGGTATGTCCCATGGCACAGTCATGAAGCAGATATTTTAATAGGGCCTGTTAATCATTTTAAGGAAGAAAAAAAAAAAACACTCCCTTTCACAGATTGTGTCAAAAAGTTTTGACATTACTTTCCCCGGATGTTGGTTTCTCTTATGGCTAAGGGCAACTTCCTCACTTTTGTGAGTGCTTGGAAACATCTGTGGCAAATCTCTTCACCAACGATTTGTACCTCTCACTACAGAGTTGACACTGGCAAACTGCCACCAGCCTCAGTCTTTTCAGCCATCCATTCATTCCACCTCTTAAATCAGTGTTGCTTTCTAGAATCCAGGCTGATGACCTGCATCATGGCAACCGACTCCCTTTTCCAGATGAACACGTTTCCCAGTAAATGGAACAAACATTGTCTGCAGTGGGTTCAATCTGCCCATCCCTTTTTGTTTCTTGGTATCTTTGCCAAAGTCCTGGCACATAGTCATTCTTAGTCTGTGCTGATAGTGACTGGATAATTCAGAGGTCTGAGATATGACTACAGATAAGGAAACAACTACACAATAAAGAATGGGAGATAATGGCCTGCTTTAAAATAAATACATACAAAAGTAGCTATGAATTATTCATTAGTGTGGTGATTTATAGCTTCAGATTCTTTAGTGCATAAGAAAAGTTTTATGATGTTTAATGTGCTCAAGAATGTAATTATATTTGGGTAGCTCAAAACACAAATAATTTTGAAACCACAAGAAGGTGATATTAAAAAGCATTCTTTGAAACAACCATGAGCATATGCTCAATTGATTAACATCTGGGTACCAACAATAGCCATTCTTTGAGCTAACCTAGAGAAAGACCTTTATGGGGATGGAAAAGTTGGTTACTCTTTATGCCCAAATCTAAGGCAGATGGGAATTCTAATGCACAAAAGCATTAGATGGTACAATAAACAACTATCATATCATTTTTCAAACATTCCTTTTATTTATTATGTGATTAAAAAATGCAGAGGTAAGTGCAGTTCTGAGGTCAGTGTGTGAGCTGAATTTGTCCTTGAGACGACTTTCATATGATAAGTGTATGCAGTAATATCCTCAAACAGACCTCACCGTACATTCATACATATTATCTCATGTAAAGTTTTGTTTCTCTGCAGTAGCCTAAGCAGTTCATTCAAGATAATGGTGGTGGTTCTGTCTGTCAAATGCTGTTTCCCACTAGTATGAGATGGCAGTCAACACTGCAGACAGAAAGTTGAATGGGACACAGATGGCTAAACAACACTTAAAAGTCAAAGGAATTAGTGATTGCCAGGGGTCTAGGGGAAATTGCTTGATGGGTGGGGGTTTTGCTTTGGAACTGGATAAAAGTGGTGGTCGCAAAAATAACTGAATGTACTAAATGCCACTGAATTGTTTACTTAAAAATGGTGAATTTTATGTTATGCAAATTTCACCTCAGGAAACTTAAAAAAGTCAAAGAAGGCAACCCAAAGAATCTGAGGAGAGTTCCACAAACAACCAATACAAAAGTGGGATTCTGAAGGCACTGTTTGGTGGAATGTGCTAGAACGTCGAGCCTCACAGACTGACAGGCACAAGGTAGGATCACCCAGGGGAAAAAGCTGGCAATTTTCAGCCATGCCATCAGGGGCATAAATGCATGAAGAAAGAGATTAAAAAGTGGGAAACTAGAAGGGACTCGGGACGTTGTAATTACCTTCCACTTCACAGCCCAGCAGCTCCATCCTCAGCCCCAGTCCTCCATGAGTGGCTCTCTCAGGGTAGATCCTGATGAATCGTGTGGAAAGAGGTGGAAAAGTCCGTAGCTCTGGTGTATCGTAGTTGTTGTTTCCTTCAAAAGACTGAAGTAGGAGAAACACCATTATCAATAAAACCTCCCTTTCGGTAGAGGAATCCCTCCTTCAGGACTCTTAATAGGGCAGAGAAACAGACCCCATCCCACCACCTCGTACATCGCTGACATGTCTTTCATAAATGAGAAAGGGGGGGAAAAAACAACTAAAGCTTCTCTAAGAAGTGACAGATGTCATTTCTCAGAAACTTTGAAGTACACACTGAGGCTATACCAGAAGCTGAGGATTTAATGAGACATGTTTTCAATGCTATGCTGATGTGCCTTCAAGAAGTGACACTTCTACCACCTCCTTGAGGTGGAGGAAGAGAAGTCAGGAAGAGAAGCTGCCATTTTTCAGAGCTATGTTAGACACCACATTTTCAGTGACGACTCCTGTTACATTCTCTTAAAGAAGCGGGTCCTAGTTTGCTAAAACCTGTAGAAGAGGGAGTGATTAAATTCCTGAAGAAGGAGATATTAAATTTAATGTAGTACAAGTGCTATTTAGTTAGGAACTGGGGTTATTCCAACTCACTGAAATTGCTATTTACTTAAGCAGAACCACCAGTTGGAGGCATTTGTAGATAAAAGAGCCTCTCAGGAAAGTAACAAGGGTCCTGGCTATCAAGTGAGGCTCTGAGGCCTGGCTGAACTGCAGTGTGAATGGGCTCCTTTTTTTGAAATACATTCCTGACTTGAAGTCACTGTGACATTCTTCAGGGGCCAGGCCACCCATTGCCCGTGCTGCTACTTGATTATTTTATTTCCCTTTTTACATTGACAGGAAGGTCAAAATCCTTGAGTGGAATCATAAGAAAATGGAACAATAATTTTTTCAAGAAATAGATAAGCCTTCTTCTATCCTCTTCTCCCAACATTATTCTTTAATCCTACCCCTAAAGGGAGGTGGGGAGGGAGATTAGGAAAATCAAGTTGCCTTATCATTGCGAGTGTCTTGTTATACATGAAACATCGCATCATGTTTCCTGGTGCAAGGCGTTGTTCTAAGTGCTTAAAGTATATTAATTCATTTAATCCTCAAGACAACTCCTTGAGGTACATTCTATCATTATCCTCAGTTGACAGGTGAGGCACAGAGAGGTCAAGTAATTTGCCCAAGGCTATACATACTGTAAGTGTCAGAGCCAGGATTCAAACCTAGGCAGTCTTAACTGGGGCCCTTCACCACACTGCTATGATGCCTCTGCCCTTAGAAATAATCATGTCTAATCTCATTACATTCAGGTAACTGAGGTCTATAACCAAGGCCACATACTTAGTTTCCTTAATTTTTCTTTAAATGTATTGCAGTTTGGGTTACTGACTGGTAGATTAAATTGAGTGGATGGCCAGCCACCAGGCCATGTCAGTCAGGAGCAGGGACCATACCCGATTCCTGGATCAAGATGTCATAAGCCAGCAAAAGATGTGATCATTCAGTGGTAGAAATATCAGGGCTAAAAGGGACACACAAGTAAGTGAAAACAGACGGATTGGGTTGACTGTGATCTGGCCAGAGGTCCTCTGAGTTCCAGAAATAAATTAATTGGTCCTATCCAATCCAGAAAAGTCTCCAGAAATCTAAAGGACGTGGTTAACACAGACTCGCTTCTTCCCCTAAAGCTGCCTTCTCTTATTTTGAAGAGTAAAATCATTATTGGGGTTCTGCACTCTTGATGGAACACAGTTGCTTCCAGTAATTGGGAATCTGACATATATTATTGTTAGGCCCAATTAAGTGTCGTCAGTGAGATATAATTATAATGAAAACAACATTACTATGCATGCCTGTTCTATGTTAATATAGCTCCAACAATCACAGGAGAAAAGCACTTATAGCTATAGACTCCCAGCTCTTCTTCTAATTTTAACTTGAGTAAAGAATTAGGACAATGTAGAAAATGATAAAAGCTGTCCGTGATGAGCTGGAAAGAATATTAGCAGCGAGGATCTATATGGAAATGAGCTAACACTGCTAACATAAGATCGTTTATGAAATATCTTTGTGTCCTGTTACTCACCGTGGTTTAGAAGAAGAGGAATTTGAGCATTTAGATCTCCTCTCTGCTTAATTCAAAGACTCTGATATACCTTGTCCATCATGTACTACTTGAGGGTAGGAAGTGAGGAGCAGGATATAGGGGATTTTATAGCCATCAAAGTACTGTTTTATTCATAAAACCCAGTACTCATTCTACTATTACACAAAAGATACTTGGCATCCTAAGCAGGTGACCTTCATTTGTAAGTTTAAATAGAGTATGTTTTAAGTATCATTATACAATTTAGTAATATGCACTGCACCTAAATTGAAGGCTTTACCCATGTCCTTTTGCATCTTAAAGATTTTATTTAAGGAGAAGGACATGTCAGGAATGACAGATTAGGCTCTATGTAAATAATTTAGAGGCTTTTGTGGTTTTAAATATCATGGGATGATAATGACGGGTAAGAACATATTTGAGGAGAAAAATCTCACATACTCATGAGTGGAGTTTTTTGTGAAGATTGAAACCTGTGTGCTGGCTCCTGGTGGAATTCTATGCGCAATGTACTACAGTAGAGTGATAGCTTTAGACTTAATTGCAGACTCGATGAGGCACCTTATCCAAAGCATATGGTAATTTGTTTTCTTTCTCTCCTAGAACCCTCATGTTGAAGGTGTCACAACACCTGCTGTTGTCACAACAGCACCAGGATGCTGCTGATGTGTGGCATATTCACACTTTGTGACAAAGTCAGAAGGCTCACAACTCCTCTGAAAAGATGGGCTCTTAAGGGGAACTCCGGTTTCTGGTGTTTATTTTACTTTTTCTTTTATCAAAACAAGAGGGGCAGACATAAAGGGGGTGGGGAATGAAATGAACACAAGAAGGAAAGTAGCTGTAATGTAGATTTAAAAAAAAAAACACTGGAAATTGTTTAGAAACCACAAGTTAAGTAGGGGTGAGATGGGAGAGAGATTCTTACATTTCCGACAGCATCATCACTGTCAGTGGCCTGCCACACTGGTGCTGACCACGGCCTTGGTGGACAGGTAGCCAGTGGGGACAGGTGGTCTCTGCAGAGTCCAGCTTCTGGACAGAGGGGGATCTGGCTGTGCCATTGGGCTTTTGTTTCCTGCCTGCAAAGCCCTTGGCCTGAGTCACTATATTCAAGGCACATCACCACAGTCGTTTAGAGTGGGACCAAGGATAACGTTCCCTCCAATGGGCTAAAATCTTTTCACAAAAGGAGTAGGTCCTGAGCAAAGCAGAGATGCAAAAGCTGGGATGGAAAGCCAGTTGTGTTGGGTGTGAGAAGTGCCATCAGCTGAATACTTCCCTCAGTGCACACAGAACTGATGGTCTATGGGTTGTTACTTATTCACACTCAAACCAGCCATCATCAGGCCTAGCTGGTGTTGTGTGCTCAGAAAATGCAAATCAGTGCTCACTTCGGCAGCACATATACTAAAAAAAAAAGAAAATGCAAATTAGTTTGACCACCAGCCTAAGTAAAACATAATCCCTAAAGAATCTGTTTGGTTAAAAAAAAACCGATACCACGTGTTGTGATGAATGTTGGAATATCTCCCTTATCATTGGATCAAGAGCCAAGTGTATTTTAAAAGGTTCCAAGGCATAAAAAAACATACTCAAGCATTATTCACAAAAGCCAAAAAGCAGAAACAATGAAAGTGGCAATAGGTGGATGAATGGATACACAAAATGTGGTATGTGCATACAGTAGAGTATCATTCAGCTTTAAAAAGAAATGGAATCCTGTTGCTCCAAGTTGAGGACACTGTGCTAAGTAAAGTAAGCCAGTCACAAAGAAACAAATATTGTATAATTCCACTTATGGGAGGCTCCTGAAGAAGTCAAATTCACAGAGACAGAAAGTGGAATGGTGGTCGCCAGGAGCTGGGGCATCAGGAAATGGGAGTCATTGCGGGGTGGGTGCAGATTCTCAGTTTTGCAAGATAAGGAAGTTCTGGAGATCGGTTGCACAGCAGTAGGAATGTACCTAACACCACTGAACTTTACATCTGAAAAGTTTAAGATGGTAAATTTTAGGTTTTGTGTATGTCACCACAATTAAAATGTTAAAAAAAAAAAAAACAACAGCAACAAACCCCCCCCCCCCCCCAAACCACTTAAATGAGGGATGGGTGAGAGAAGGGAAAAGGGATGGGGGTGGGGCAGTGGCTAACAGATTAAAATCTGTTGAGAGATTCTGAGTTTCTGCTGGGTTGCCCTGTCAGTCCCCAGGCTCCCAGGCTCTGGGCCGCCCTGTCTCCTGAGTGTCGAGCTTTCCCCTGTTCCCTAAGGAAGGAAAGGCGGCCAGCAATGTAATTCTTTTCTGCGTTGATCTCAGATACCACTTTTAGCATCTCATTCCTGTCTTCCCTAGAATGGGGGTCTTACGGACAACATCCACACTTCCACTGATGTCATGGCTTAAAAGAAATACAAAGTCGTACTTCCTCAGGAAAATGCTGGAGGTCCTGGATTTAAGTCAATGACATGAGAAAGGACTTCCTCCCCAGCAGCTGCTCCCATCCCTGGATCTCACCTTAGCCTTGCGCTTGCTGTCATCCATGATCATTTTCCAGTCTGAGCCATTGTTGCTGTACCCGATCTTGAATTTCCTCATGAACACCTTGTTTTCCCTGTGCTTCCCCCCCTGAATGATGATGCCCCTCACAATCTTCTCTTCCCCCAGGTCCACTTGGAGCCACTCGTTTATGTATGGGTGAGGAGCAGGTGGCAGTGCCCAGCCGGAGCGACTGGTTACCAGGCGAATATTTTCAGGCATCCAGTTTCTGTCCCCTTGGTTTGATGCTGTTATCTGGGAGTCAGAGATAAGTCCAGACACCATACCCAACATGCCAGAGCAAGGATAATCTAGAGGGTGGAATGAAATAGATGATGTAAAATGATTTTCTATAACTCTCCATGCTTAGAAAGAGAATACCACAGACTGAATAGGAACATTGTACCCATTCATATACATTTTTAAGTCTCTGGATCATTTGACATTAAACCAAAGCTCTCCCTCCCTCAAACCTTTCTCCTAGACTTATAGCACTCCCTCCCACACTCACATTCCAAGAAGGAAACTCTTCCGTGAAGATAGACATTTCCCCATTTTTGAGTTCTTCCAAGCTTAATGTCAAAGTACTGATGTTCCAGTCCCTTTGGTATCTAGAACTTAGCCCTAGATCCAGTACAGGCCCTGCCCAACAGAGGTTCAGTTTATGATAGGCTGGAGATAGGAAATCAGTAATTCCAACAGCCGGAGGCTGTCCTGCCCACCCCTTTTCTAACTGCTTTAGGAGCTTTCCACACGAAAATCCCATTGTCGTCACAAACGTACCATGTCCAAACCCAAATGGTCCTTTTCCCCTTGATACTGAATCTCTTTATCAAACTCTGTGTTTTAACCAGTGGAACCGCCAACCAGCTAGTTTCTGCCTAGTCATCTAGTCATTCTCTATTTTATATATTCCATTCCTGTTCCGCTACTAAATCCTGTCATATTTTCATTAAAAAAAAAAAAAAAAAAAAAAGTATGTTGGTTGGTCCTGCCTTGTGGTCCTCATTTCCTTTTGGCATTACTCTGGTCTGCACCCTCCTGGCCAGGGTGCTAACTGGTCTGGTTGGCTTGTCAGACCCCAGTTATGAATCTATACCATCCATAACTGCCAATTCACTTTCCATAAAAATCATTTTTTTTTGCAATGTCATTCTTAAGCTCAAAAATCTTCCATTGCTAAGTAAAATAAGCCAGACACAAAAGGACAAATATTGTATGATTCCATTGATGTGGGGTATGGAGAGGATTCAAATACACAAAGAGAGGAAGTAGAATGGTGGCCACAGGAACTGGTGGGAGGCAGGAATGGGGAGGTGGTATTTAATGGATACAGAGTTTCAGTTTGTGATCATGAAAAGCTCTGAAGATGGAGTGTGGTGATGGCTGCCCAATAATGTGATTGTACTTCACACAACTTAATTGTACACTTAAAATGGCCCAAATTATAAATTTTATGTGATGCGTATTTACCACAATAATAAAAGAAAGAGAGCTTTAAAAATTTTCCATGGCTCCCCATTATTTATAGGACTATATAAAAAGTCTATCCAGCCTTTGAAATCTTCATTTTGGTTTCATTCTGTTTATCTAATTTTGTTTCCTCTTACTGACAGCATATTTCAGTGAATCCATCTTTTTGTATACCCTAGATACAACCCTCATCATTATCTTTGCTCAAAATGTTCCTGCAGCCCCTTATCCTCCTGTTGACAGAGGTAAGTTCTGCTGAAATTTTAAAACCCACCTTAAACTCTTCATGAAAACTTCTGAAACTATTCTAGCCTTTATTCCAAACTCTCCCTTGTCAGAAATATGATTGCATGTGCAGAAAGTAGCACACAGTTTAGCATTAAATTGTTCTCTCCATGCTTTAAGATTGGTTATCTTGCATCCACAGCTAGATTATAAATTTCTCAAAAGCAACAAACAGCATCAGGGGCACCTGGATGGCTCAGTCAGTTAAGCATTCGACTTCGGCTCAGGTCATGATCTCAGAGTTTGTGGGTTCGAGCCCTGCGTCGGGCTCTGTGCTGCCAGCTCAGAGCCTGGAAGGAGCCTGCTTTAGATTCTGTGTCTCCCTCTCTCTCTGACCCTCCCCTGTTCACTCTCTGTCTCAAAAATAAATAAACATTAAAAAAAAAAGCAACAAAGAGCATCAGATCTTTTTACATCTTCTGCAGCAGTCCAAGTAGCTTCTGAGCATAAGGAGAGTATCAATAATTGATTAATTGATTGGCCACTTAATAACAAATCATTCAATTATTCTCCTTTCAAAACTGTACACCTCAATCAAGGACATGCATAAGAATGATAACCTATTTTTCTTTGAAACAACTCAATTCTGCATAATATAACTAAAATTTAGCTTAAAAAATATAGCCATCCTAAATGAGAGGCATGCATTTAATGAGATTAAACTGTGTCCATGTTATGAGCTGGTCCTTAAGAGTCAATTGCTCAGATACTTTCCAATGAGTTGTACATTTCAGGTCATGCCATTTCTTTATCCAAGCATTCAGTCCCGGCTCGGAATTATGCATGTCCTGTCTTCCATACTGCAGCCTTGAAAGCCTCTCCTCATTTTACCCAATTTGTGACAGGCATAAATAATGGAATAAAAAACTTTCTTATGGGGGTGGGATGGAGGGAGGCTTTCTTTCATTCTGTTCCCTCCACTAGGAAGTCCCCATTATCTTGCCCTTCCCACTACCTAAACCACTACAAATCTTGAGCCATTTTTGAATGCTACAATTTTCCCAATATTTCCCACTAGGCATGGTTTTCTTTCTATGAGACTCTTCTTTAGCACTTTATGTGCATTTCTCTATATTGATGACCCTATGCAGCTCTTTGGATTGCTGCTACTGGCCTCACCAGATTTTGTCTTTGAGGACATGAGCCAAGTCATATTTAAATTTTTTCTATGACTCCTTGAGCCCAGCTTTCTATGGTATTTACTTAACAAATATTTGATAAATGAATCAACTTATTAACACAATAAAGGCAACTGCCATTTTTCTCAAGCACCCTTTCCTGTAATTCAGTCACAGTAGCTGCTCTTGGCTGGGACCTGGATACAATAAATTCAATGAGGATTAAAAAAAATTATAAAAAGTATTTTACTGAAGGTCTATGAAATTGTAGTGCTAAAAATAGAAGTCATATTTTTGGTCACTGTGGTCACACCTGTCTGATTCAAAATCAGCTTTTATAAAGAAAATGTTTAGCTAGTAATAAGTACCAGATGTTACCATCTGGACAAAAACACAATTAACTTGAATATTGTAAGGAGAGCACAACCTTTACCAGATTAACGTCCTTTCTCTAATGCAGACTTGGCTAAAGCAGAGTTTACATATCAACAAACCTAGTGATGCCCAGCCCCCATTCTGCTAACATATCCACAGTACAGTTAGACCCTTGTTCCTTCTATAAGTCTGCCTCATCCAAAAAAGAACAGTGAAGAGGCACATTGATTTGCCTTTAACTAAAAATTAGCACTTTTAACAATGTTAAATAACAATTATTAATTCAACAATTTAATAACTCACTTTTAGCAATGATTAGGAGGAAAGTTACGCTAACATTTCAAGGTTTGAATAAGATGCTAGGATCTAGTTCTATTCTTCCATAGCAGGCTTGCTCAGATGTGCTTTAGCCTGGCTACATGTCAAATCCTTTGGAAATAGTGTTGCCAAATTTAGCAAACAATCAAAGAAAAACAACAAAACAGGAAACAGGATGCTAGACTAAATTAGAATTTAAAATAATGAATAATGTTTTAGTATAAGTATGTCCCAAATATTGCATGGGACATACTTATACTAAAAAATTCTTTGTCATTTATCGGCATCAAATTTAACTGGACATTCTGTATTTTACCTGGCAACCCTGTTTGAAAACTTAAAAAGCAATATTAGATGGAAGGGAGAGATGAGTTCTGTGGTGGGGAATTAAGGTGATTCTTTTCATTGATATATTATGGTAAAATTATACAGTTTTAATAGGAAAACTGAGATATACTGGTAAATCAAATACTCTGTTTTAGAGAATGAGAGGGATCATGATAACTGCATTTGATGGGTGAAACTGAGTGAGCATAATTTAATCTTCCCATGATGACTCAGGATATTGTGGCACCTGAGATCATCCCTCCAAACTTTGATTAACATAGGAACACACTGATGTGAGCAGAAGCACCAGTTAAGACACTTCTGGTTAACAAACACAAGTTAAATGAGTTTGTGGTATGTTCTCATACATCAAGCAGTAATCCTCCAAGATTATCTTCCCCACATATCCATATTTGCCGAAATGATGAAGCCTGCTTTGTCAAAATAATGAAAATGCTCCTTTGGGAATCACCTTTAAAACAGAATGGTTTTTGCTCCAATCTTGTTTTCTTTATATCTCTACATGGTGACCACACTGTATACTCTGGCTTCTCTAGGATTATTGTATTTCTAAAAAATAATTTCTGAATACAAAAATTAGGTTAAAACTTAAGGGCTCTGGAGACTTTGGAAGTCGAGTGATGTGTTCACAGGATAACTTAATTCAATAGTTTTTGTTTGTTTTAATCCAGTTTGAGTTAGGAATTGCCAACTGAAGAGGAGAGGGTGGTATTTTGAAATTCAGTCATTTGTGGATAAAACTGCAATTCATTCATCCATTCATTCATTAAAAAATAAATGTATTGAGCACTTGTTCCAGGCATACAGGATACAATAGAAAGTAAGGCAAACATGGCCCCTGCTTTCATGGATCTTACAGTCCAGCAGGGACACTGCAGCCTTGTTCTCTTGCATTAGTCTCTATTCTGAGGGGACTAGGGCCTCTGAAAGCTGAAAACTATCTGCTTCTGGTCATCAAGAAGAAAACTCTGCTTGCTGGGACTTTGTCCTAGGTTCAGTTCATGGAGTACCATTCACTGTGTAATTTACTGGGTACCATTTAGTTAACACTGACTCTAGGCCAAGTGTATTATAAATACTTTCAATTTAATCTTCATTACAGCTGAATTAAGGTTAATCTTACTGACCAGGAAATGGAGTTCAGAGGGACAAAATGTCTTGCCCATGGTCTCACATTCACCAAGTGGACAGTGGAGAGCGAGGCCTGGATAGATGTCTGCACACTTTCTGTCCACGTGACCATCCTTATAACATGCTGCCTTCCCAAAAATCTGCCTTGGTCAGTTATTTGGAGATTGTAGCTACCTTACTAGAGAGAAGTATCTAAAATATATCAGGGGTCATGATAAAAATATTAGCGCTATGAACTTAAAAGCAGTATCTTTTTTGGGAAAAAATAGCTCCTTAAAATAATAGTAAAATAAAATATATGTGAAAATAGTGTATGCTATTTTAGATATCTATGTGTAAATAAATAAACTAGACATTTAATTAGTCCTTTAACGTTGAGTCATGTAACATTTTTGGTTTTAAAAATCCAATAAAGTATTTGCCTTCTTCACATGTGAAGACTCACACACCTAGAATGAACTCTCAAGGAAATCCTTGTGAAAATGGAAAGAGAGGTTCAAATTTAAGTATGTTTTATTGAACTTCAGAAGAAGTTCTCTGAAGGAGAACTTCAGAAATCAGAGTTTAGACTACTACGTTTGGAGTCTTTACAAAGTTACTTCTTCTTCTTCTTCTTCTTCTTTTTTTTTTTTTTTTTTTTTTTTTTTTGGTGCAGTGACATTAGATTAGAAATGAGCCAGAAATTATTTCCACCCTGACCTCAAATGGCCTTGTTTCTACAAATTTGTGAGCAACTTCTGAAATTTGTAATTCTCTGAAAATGACCTAGAACTTTTCTCATGTAACTGCTGATCAAAAATAAAGCCAAGGTTATATCTAACTTTTCAACATCCCTTCTTCCTCCAAACCTCTCTCCACCCAATTCCTGCCTCCAAGGCCTTGAACTTTCTTAGTCTTAGATCCTGAAACAATAAACAAACCTGTCTCTGGTATGGAAATAAATATGATTTTGGTAAAATCAGGTGTCAGTTATTACTTGCCAAAATGGACTCTCCTATAAACAAGGATAGTTTTTTTCTCCTTAGTTTTTTCTTGTGGCGCTCTTGTCCAAATGGCTTGTAATTTCATTGAAAATTGCCCAGGTGGTGGGGCTTTTGTTTTTGTTTTTGTTTTTTTTTTTTAATTCAGTAGTTTCCTTGTCTCGATATAATTATCCTACAAAGGATAAAAATAAAAACAATAGTACTAGCATTCATGGAAGAAGAGATTAAATGTCCTAACTATGTACACTAACATAATATTAAAAGATAGTTCAGAGACTTTTAAAAGTGGTTCACTTTTAATTACTTTTTGGTGAATCAGTTACTGATTCCATTTAACTTTTAAACTTACACTGAAGGTTACATTGTACTGCTGTGTGTGTGTGTGTGTGTGTGTGTGTGTGTGTGTGTGTGTGTGTGAAACCTTTGCAATGTATTTACTTAAATGGTGAGGAATTGTGGCCTGACTAGTATTTACTTCAGAATACAGAATGGTGGCACAGGAAGATCAGTGAATCGCCAGAGAAATGCAGTGAGAGTGACAATGACGACAGTTCTTTTACTTCCAGCTCTGTCCCGAGCTGGCCCACTTTTTTAGCCATTTCGTGCCTCCAGAGTACACCTTCATCTCTGAAATGGGTATAATCCCTCTACTTACATCAATTTAACAGAGATTTTTTAAGTACTGTGAATGTCAGAAGAAACAAACAAAAAAAGAGGAAACATTGACCGATCAATTTCTAATATTAGTGTATGCATTCAACAAAAGAGGGATAGATATTGAGACAAAAAGTTGTCCAGGTAGAGTGAGTGAAGAGAGAAATTCTCATAAGTTAAACTCCTTCTTGACTGTGGCTGACAGAGCCACCCATAGGCATCAAAATGAAAAAGGTGGAGAGCATGCCATGCAGTAATTTTTCATTGCAAATCGACTAAGCACCTGTCAGTGTGCCCTGCACCCAGGAAACAGAGATGAAAAGCACAGTGCTCACCATCATGGAGCTTGGGGTCAAGTGGAAAGGTGTCGTTTAGCACCAGGCTGTGCTGAGCACTTTATATCCATGAGCTACTCCATTATCACAACAATCCTGCATGGTGCATGATGACTGTTTTCTAGTTGAGATCACTAAGGCTTTGAAAGACAATAAATTCCCTCACAAAATAAGCTAGTGAGGAGTATCAACAGGATTTGAATGCAGATGTCTAAACTCAAAGCATATGCCTTTAACCACCAACTGAAAATGACCAGATTTATATAAAGAAAACGACCAGCTTTATATAAAATTATAAAATTCCCATTCCTAAAATTATAAAAACTCCCTATATTGCAAAGCTTACATAAATCAAAACTGGGCCATCTTCAAGCTGGAACTCACCTGTTATCTTGCAGCCATAGACTTCAAACCTCATAGATATGCCAGTTTCCCAAGTCACCGGTTTGATTCGGACAAATCGAGTTATTAGTGGTTTAGGGAAAACTCCAAACACAACATCTGTGGGGTTGGTGTTTCCCTGAAAGATCTATATAGAAAAAGAAAGGGTCCTTTAATGACAGACTCTTCAGATTTAAGACAAATACAAAAATATGTTTCCACAAATGCCTATAAAAATTATTTATAATTTCAGCATTGCCCATCAAAGGTTGAGGTGGCATTAGTAATTTGTCATGTTTTTTTTTCAAATGATGGCAATCAGAAGAAATCACGTGTAATGTAGAATGTTGTCCTAATCATCCATTCAATTTTCTGAGATCCTAGAGACTCCAAAAGCACTATTACGAAGACAACATTTGTTAAAGGCTACCTAAAAAAGACTATCCAAAAAAGTTGGAAATTATTAACTTTATCATAAGGACCTACATAATACTATAGATGGTGCATGGGAACTCACTCTATTTTACTTTCCCAGGAACCCCCAGAAGGAGTACTTTTTGAGTTCAGTGTAGGGTCTGGCTTTAAAAAAAAAAAAAAATTTTTTTTAACATTTATTCATGAGAGACAGAGCACAAGCGGGGAAGTGGGGAGAGAGAGACACACACAGGCCCTGAAGCAGGCTCCAAGTTTTGAGCTGTCTGCACAAAGCCCAACATGGGGCTCAAACCCACGAACTGTGAAATCATGACCTGAGCTGAAGTCAGATGCTTAACCAACCGAGTTACCCAGGTGCCCCCATAGGGTTTGGCTTTTTGAAAATTCTAGGTTGTATTCCCAGCTACAGCACTGTGTCAAGTAGCTTCCCCTCTTTTAACTCCATTTCTTGATGGGAAACTTTATCCCTGACACCAACTAAGTAATGATCTTTCATCTTTTTTGGATTTTGGTAAAATTATGTTTTAGTGGTCAAAATCAACACTGAGTTATAAATGATATGTAACTGGAAATCAGCTTTTCCAGGGCTCCTGCTTCTAGTTTTAAAAATGAGCCATTTTATTTTAAGAAAGATGAGGCTTGTAACTGCAAATGTAGTAAGTGCCAGTCATGAATGAGTTTCCCACAAGGATGTGTCGGGACTACTCTTCCTGGGCGTGGCTCCACTGCTGTGTTCTTCAGCAGGTTCCATGCTGGAACATCCGGCACTAGACCCACCTCAGGAGGAACTGAAAGCCTCTACTTCCCTGTCTTTCACTTTGGCCCTGAACTGGGGATATCCCGTGTCAAAGTAAATCAGCTAGTGCTCTGCTTCTTACACAGCCACACCATATTCCTATTATGTTGTGTCACTTGAGCATTACTGAGCCCATTGGAGGCCTGGAGATTCCTCCCCACGTTTCCAGGTAAGTTCTCAGAGGAGAACCACAATTTCCCAAGACTTGTTCTTCCCCTGGGAGAAAGGACTTCTAAAGGTCGAGCTGATGTTTTTACTTCATTTAGCTTAAGTGGCCTGTGTGACTGAAGGTGGTCAAATGCTTTACAAAGTTGGCCGTTAGCCTGATCCCTCTCCAGAGATGGTTTAATATCATAATTTATCCTCGCCTGTGATGGCCTTTGGATTTCTGTCCTACTTCAGCAAATCTCTCTTGGAAACAATCTGTGTGGGAGCATTTTTGTGTGACAGAGAAGAATGGGCAGCTGCCAGAGGAAGCAGAGTCCCAAGCCATATAACGCTTGAAGGGTCAACAAGTCCACTTCAGGGAGAGCCTGACAGTCAGTTAAGAGCACTGCATGCCCCGGCACAGGCTGGGGGTGAACTCTGGCTCACACTGAGGGGACTTCACATTTGCTGAAAACCATGGAGGTACATACATTCCACTCAACATAAAGAGGGCTGCTGGCCTTGTCATTGGCTAAGAAAGCAGGGAAGGGGGTAGGGGTCAGTGTCTGAGAGGCCGCAAAGTAAAGGGAAAGGAGGGTGGACAACAATAACTGGACGCCAGGTGGACGTCTGGCTTGCATTTAGGTTCAATAAAAGTGCTCAGATGGATATCGCACCTATATCTTTGCTGAATCCTTCTTTATTCTTTCTGCCTCCCACTCTGGAAGCCCTTCCATGTGCCAGGATGTTCCCGGTAGTGGACCTAGAGTGAGCCCTGTGCATTGTCAGACACCCCCTCAGAACCTGGTGTGTGCTCTCGGACAGCCCCTTCTGGGCCATGCCAATGACTGATGGCCAGCGGCTGACGAGGACACCGTGGAGAAGTAGCACTCATGTTTTAAAGAAATGGCCTGAAGGCCTGAGGTCAGTTCTCCTTACTCTCCTTGCTGTGTCCTGGGCATTAGTATCTTGTTTGTTTGTTTGTTTGTTTGTTTGAAATTAAAGCATGTCTTCAAAAATATGTCAAGATTAAGTCATGAAACTTAGGGTCAAATTTTACTTGCTAAAGCTTCACAAATGTTGGCTGTGAGGATTTTTCTTCCCCAGATGGAGGACTGGTTCCATGTCCTCCAGGGCTAGTCAGTGGCCTTGAACTTGCTGTTCATAGACCTTCCCTCCCACAGGGCAACTGTCTATATATCTACTTTCATTTTGTCTGCCCTAAATAAGAGTGGGGGCTTTGCAGCTAATCAAAAGGAATTAACAGTTCTCTCACTTCACACTATGGCTCTTCTTAGCTCCAGACCCAGAAGGAGAAAATCAGGCCATGCATGCTCAAAACAGAGACAAGGACATGTTAATTGGCCTCTTCCCAAATCCTGAATTTCAAGTTACCTGGATCTTTGCTACTATCCTTATCATTTCTGTGCATTTTATTTGGCCTTCAGGGCAAGCTTTTAGTTTTGGGGAAACAGTGAATATGAGATCTCAGAAATCTTTTGATGAGTAAATCAGAGCAAGCATAACTTCAAATAAACACGCAGGCTGAGAAAAACAACTCAGTTCCAAATGATTTAGGGTAGGGCACCCAGGGCAGGGCATGGTTGGTGTGTCTTCTTTTGTTAAGAGCAGTGAGGAAGTAACATCATGTCATTTGTGTGATCTGAGGGAACACTGTGAACTGCCTTTCTTCTATTCATTTTCACATAAACGGCCAAACACTCTTGTAAATTAGTTTGTGAGCCACAGAGGGTAGATGAAAAGGAGTTTTCTAAAACCAGCCCATGACTGAGAGGAAGAAAGAAGGAATCTATGAAAGACAATGAAGAAACACAGGGAAGCAAAACAGAACAACTCCTCAGGTTCTAAAAAGACAGTGCTTATCCTATACATGCTCAGTGTCCCCACGGGAGGGTTAAAGTGATTCTTGAGTCTAACACTTAATTTGGCTGGTATTGACTTTTCTAGGAAGCATCTGTATAATTTCCTCTTGGCTTCTGGATCTGGGAACATGAGACCCCTCCACCCCCACTGCTTGGTCAGATATAAACCTCAAATTGCACTTTTCATTTTAAATCAATCCCAAACTAAACCAGGCCAGACAAAAAGCTCCCAAACAAACAAGTAAAAATTGATCATCTGTTTCAAAGACTGAATTGGTTGAGGGGCTGACAGCGAAACTTACGACAGGTTTATTTCCTTCCTTTATGGTGATCCAGTCTTCCCCATTGGAGCTAATGTCTATTCTGTAAGTCTTGACATAGTATTTCTTCTTGGTTTCCTTTGAAATGGCTCCCTGTGTCCCGACAGCAGTGACAAAGCGCAGAAGGCCCAAGTCTACCTGCAAAACAATACAAGCTTAGTCAATCATTCACCCTGCACCATCATAACCTGAAACATCTTTTCCCGTGGGTTCCACAGTGCAGTTTTCAGCCACCTGAGAGTTATAGGTCCTACTTCCACCTGGTATCAACATCCCCTATCTTCTCCATTTCATTCCTTCTAAAGAAAGGCATGGCTAGGATTAAGACAGCAATTGTCCGAGTTTGGCAGTTCCAGGAAGAGACTGCTGCAACCACAATTGCTTGATCTTGGTACAAAAGTGAACACTGGTTTCAATATCATTTTGCTATATTTTCTAAGAGATTAAAAATTCTTTCCAAACAATGCATTGGTATGTGTTATTTTACAATTAGAAAAGATAAGATAAAATTAGAAAAGACAAGATAAACTTGCAAATTGGATGTTGGAGAGGCTTGGACTAAAACTCAGGTCTAATGGGCTCCCATTTCTCATCACTCTTCAGCATCTGTCCCCTTCCAGACAGAAACAAGAGGACTTTGAAAGCACTAGGAGTGCTGTGGTTTGGAGAATGGGCCAGAGACTTATAATCTGGAATGGAGGGGAGACCAGGAAGGCAAAGTAAGGATATCTGTTTCATCCTTAGATTTCTTCCTTCCCCATATCTTCCCATGGCCTCTCTTGCAGTTCAGCTCAAGAGGCAAGTGGATTCCAAGGCATCATCTGGGAAGGACTGATGCCTCCAAGTGACAATGGCTAGAGTTCACAAGCTCCTACTGTAAGTTTCCAGTGGAGAAGTTCCTCAACATTGGAGCCTCGTCTTCATCTCTCACTAGCCTGTCTCGTACCCCTGAAGGTTGGGCTACTTGGAAGGCATCACAGCAGTGATGACAGAGGGTGACCAAAGCCTGAAGGTCCACGATTTCCTGGCAGAGGTGTGCAGTGACTTGGGTTGTTCCTGCGACCCTGTGATATGAGTGGGTGGGACAAAGATCTAAGCATCGGGCCCTCAAATGTCTAGTATTGGTTCTGCCACTAGCTAGCTGTTGGGCCTCGGACAAATCACTTCATCTTTAATGACTTTAGATTTCTAGTTCTTCGTCTGTTAAATAAAAGAGTTGGGCTAGATAACCTGGAAGGCCCCTTTCAACTCTGACTTCCTATGATTCCATGTTCACTGTTGACCAGTAAAATACTGTTGACCCTTGAACAACGAGGGGGGGTTAGGGGCTCTGACCTGCTCCATAGTTGAAGATCAATGTATAACTTTTGACTCCCCCAAAACCTAACTACTAATAATCCACTGTTGACCAGAAACCTTACAGATAATATAAATAATTGATACACACATAGTTTATATGTTACATGTGTTATATACTGTATGCTTACAATAAAGTAAGTTGCAGAAAAGAAAATGTTAAGGAAATCATAAGGAAATACACCTCCAGTACAATACTATAAAAAATACACTTTTTAGTGTACCCCGATAGTTCAAACCCATGTTGTGTAAGGGTCAACTACAGTGTTTTTTTTTTTTCTTTTACTTCCCTTATTTCCATCATTAATAACCAAGAATAATCTTTAAAAACAAATTTAGTTTATTTATTTATTTTAAGAGAGAGTCAGTGTGAGTAGGAGAGGGGCAGAGAGAGAGAGGAAGAGAGAGAGAGAATCCCAAACAGGCTCCACACTGTCAGCGCATAGCCTGATGTGGGGCTTGAACTCACCAAACTGCGAGATCATGACCTCGCATGCTGAAACTGAGAGTCAGACGCTTAACTGACTGAGCCACCCAGGTGCCCCAATAACCAAGAATGATCTTAAAACAAAAATCATTACTTGTTTCTATAGATTAGAAATGTTTTCAGTTTCCTTTTAGGGATACATTTGATTATTTGTTTAAAATTGTTTTCCTCCATTTGTCATACCCTCTACTGTATTTCTGTATAATGCAAATACTTTAAAGAAATGATACAAATATATGGCAAATGCTTTTGAAAGTTTTTTAAAAAAAATGTTTATTGATTTATCTGGAGAGAGAGAGATAGAGTGCAAGCAGGGGAGGGGCAGAGAGAAAGGGAGAGAGAGAATCCCAAGCAGGCTCCACACCATCAGTGCAGAGCCTGATGTGGGGCTTGAACCCATGAGCCATGAGAACATGAGCTGAAGTCAAGAGTTGGATGCCCAACCAACTGAGCCACCCAGGCACCCCTGGCAAATACTTTTTAAAGGACACAGAAAGTAATTGCACATCACAACTGCTTAACAGTAACAAGATGTTTCAACAGTACATTCATTATTAGGTAAGAGAATGCCATTTTCCAATGAAAATAGCAACAAAAGCCAAAAAAAAAAAAAAAAAAAAAAAAAAAAAAAAAAAAAAAAAAAAAAAAGAAAAAGAAAAAGAAAAAGAAAACAACCCCCTCCCCTGCAGTATACCCTCTACCTACCACCAAAACTTCTGAATCCTGCTTTCCACTTACTACATGACAACCCAATTTTCAGAAAACAAAATTTCAATTAACCCTCCAGTCCTATAGGCCATGGACACCTAAAGAATTTCCATTTTATGTACAGTCAGCCTCATGAATAATGACTATTGTCTTTCATGAATTGCTTTTTCCTGAAGGCCCTTAGAGTAGTTAAATCAACATGTTGCCAATTCACTTCAAAACTGAACACAAAGTTAAATCCAGGAAAAACAGCTGTGTTACTAGCTCATAAAAGCCAAGTTGAAGTCACACAATTCAATAATAGGAGACTTCATCTAGAAAGGAAGAGGATACCATTCAATGTAAAACCATCTTTGTCTCATTTACCTGATTTAAATTTTTTTTAACGTTTATTTATTTTTGAGACAGAGAGAGACAGAACATGAACGGGGGAGGGTCAGAGAGAGAGGGAGACACAGAATCTGAAAGAGGCTCTAGGCTCTGAGCTGTTAGAACAGAGCCTGACGTGGGGCTCGAACCCACAGACTGTGAGATCATGACCTGAGCTGAAGTCGGACACCCAACCGACTGAGCCACCCAGGTGCCCCTCATTTACCTGATTTTAAAGATGTAAAGTCTATGCTCTGGTTGCTATTACCAGATTTAAGAGAAAAAATGAGCAAGACTTTAATAGAAATTAATATTTTTGGATAATGGTAGATGCTTTAATTTTAACAAATAAATATTTACCCAACACATTTTTATCAAGTGCCTATACTTGCTATTTGAATTTTTTTCTGAAATTTGAGTTTTTTTCACAAGTGAACTATAATACTTTGTATGAATTTGTATACAAAGCTGAAAAAAAGGAGGCAAATCCACGTTTGCCAGATTTAGCAAATAAAAATATAGACTGTTAGGTTAAATTTGAATTTCAGAGAAACAACAAATGTTTTTAGTACATGTACGTCCCATGCAATATTTGGGACATATGAACAACTGGTCCATTGTTTACTTGAAATTCAGATTTAACTGGATGTTCTGGCAACCCTAAATCTAACTCTATTCCAGACAAATAATCAGGTGATTTTAAGTTGCCGCAAAAACTCTCTGATTTCCTAACGCTGCAATCTGAAAGTTAATGGGCACTCTGGACATGGTTGCACTCAACAATTTCAACTGTTTTCAAATGCTCTCAGAACACTTAGTGCTTTACTGACTATCCATTGAGTCATGCCCAATGCCATATCCACTTTCAAGCTGAAGGGCCCTTCAAGTCTTGACGTCCAAGGGAGCATGAAGCAGAGCTATTTAAATAAACTCTTCCTGTCAAACTTACAAATGGCTCTTCAGTTTGGAAATGATTAAATTCTCAAGAGTGCACATTCAGCTTAGGCTGATTTGAAATAACTCTAGTACTTCATTCCCTGGCTGTCCTTTTCCTAATTTTTAAACTTTGTTTTTAGGGTAAAATTTGGTTACCAGGTAGGAGAGAATTTAATTGGTTGTCAACTGGAAGAACCCTAGGCATTAGAAACAACTGACTTAAAGGAAGGAGCAACAGACTGGAATTAACTGGGTATCCAACAGGGGAAATGTCCAAGGTCCCAGATAGAAAGGCCCTAAAACATGTACACGAATCACTTGTAAAAAAGAAAAAAATATTTTCTTTTCTCAACAGCAATGAAATGCATTAGCAACCTCCTCTTGTAATTGCATAAAATTTCCTGCTGTGCTTTAAAACTCTGCAGATTCTCTTGTTTATACCGCACTGGGATACTTGAAATTTCATTTCATTTTTCTTCCTCACATTACTGCCACTGGGTTTAGTAAGGATGAATGACAACCTCACAAAATGATCAGGGCTGGGGCCTGAACCTTTGCAATTAAAACCGGATGGTAGCCAGAACTCTACCAAGACACAGCCTCCCTATCACTGCGGGAATTCTCATGGGCAACACCAGGGGTGTTCTTTCAAGTCCTTCTTCCTAGGTATTTTTGAGGAATGCCCTAACAACAACCCTGGAGTGACTCACTGGGTTTGGGAGAGAAGCAAAACCATCAGCCTCAGAAGCCCTGCTGGGCACACTTCCTGTGTCTGTGTCAGGAGACTCAGAAGGACTCACTGCCTAAAGCCTGGGTGTTTACACCATTCCCACCGGTGAACCCAGCTCTGCTAACCATGACATTGGCCTCCATTGGCCTTTGTAGTCCTACCTGCTGCATCTATCCCTCTCCAACCATCCCTTCCAGCCACGTGAAATTATTTGTTATTCCTAACACAAAATAAGCCTTTCTGTTTCCCTGTTTTGCCACGTGAAGTTCTCTTGACCTAAAATAACCTTCTCCTCTTTTCTGACAACAAATGACTCTTTCGTCTTTTCAGTCCAGTAGACAGAATGAAGTACCTTCTTCCCCCACAATGTTTGGGGGATAGCTCATGTCTCCACCACCGAACCCATCAGGTTGCGTCTTTGCTCTACTTCCATACAGACTTTTAGGATTTCTTGCAAGGGACATCTGCTTTTCTATATAGAAAAGGAATAGATGTCTATTGAAAATGTATAAGCTGCAGAAAAGATTAAAGAAGAAAATAAAATCTCTATAA